GAGGCCAGGCGGTCATTGAGATTCTGCATGGTCACCTTTTCATTCCCAGAGAGGAGGCTGTGCTCATTGCCAAGAAAACCTGTACAGGCACCACTTCCCAACCCTCCACCGCTATTGCAGAAGCTTCCTCCAGAAGAGATGCCCCCAAGAGTACAAGAAAAGCTGCTTCCTGCTCCTGACCCAACACACACATTCCCAGCCACAAAGCCTGTTCCTCCACCAGACAGCCTACCAGACCCAGTTCGTGAGCAGATCCTTCTGGATCCACCAGAAAGTCGAAAAGACATGGTGGCAGCACAGACGGGCAACCCCTTGCCAAAGAGAGGAGCAAAGCCAGAGTTCACCTTCCACACACGTTAGCTCCCTTGGCCTTTTATAGGATTCACTGGGTCATTTCAGTCTTGACTATGCCAGTCTGTAATAAAATTTACTTGCATCCTAATTGTTGTTTTTCACAATTGGGTGATTTTTAACAGCGTCCAGTCTGTAGGTGGAAAGGTGCCCCAAGGATATTTTTTATATATAAAAATGGTGCCAGGTGAAGTAAAACTAAATCATAGCCTCAAAGGCCAAAATTAAATATGACTAAATATGCATCTTTTTGACCACTGGAATATTAATAGAATCTAGAGTCTCCCCGTCACATATAACAAAGAATTAATAATTCCAATGACAAATGTCTCCTACTTTTGTCCTGTTAATGCTCATAGAGTATTTCTAGTATTCCCACTTCGTTGAGTGCCTCCTTTCTTCCTTTCTTTGTTTCTTTTATTTTTCTTTTTTCCTTTTTTTAAGAGATGTGGTCTCGCTATGTTTCCCAGGCTGGTCTTGAACTCCTGGCCTCCAGTGATCCTCAGCCTCGGATCCTCAGCCTCACCCAGCTCAGCCTCCTGTAGCCAGCATTACAGGTGTAAGCCACTGCACTGGGTGTCTGGGTGTGTGTTTTCCTTCTTCCTGACACCAGAGAATCTCAGCATCTATTGATCTTTTGGTAGTGGGAGATTTTAAAAGAAATCTACCATTTCTTGAATTGAGAACTGAAGTAACAGAAATCCTGCAGTCTTGCTTATTATTAATTTCAGTATAATTCGTGACTATGTCATCGTGGTGGAGAATTATTTTGATTGAGATTTCTTGGTTCAGTCCAGGCAGGAGTAGGATATCAATTCAACTAAGAGTCTCCAAATTGTTCACTTCCCTACCCCTAAATAGTGTTTACTGTCTTTTAGTTTAAATGTATGTATTTAAGACATTAGGAATTATTTTGAGAAGTGAGCATCATATTGATTAGCAAGGAGTAAAATATATAAGGAGGGAGGTATTTTCATCATTACCTAGAAAACCAGTACTTATGGTACCCTAGAGAGAAGATAAGTTATCACAGGGAAGTACTCTTTATTTTCTTGCCTTGATGCCCTGGAAAGTTATCCAGGCTTGGATCATTTCCCTACTGGGCAAATGAAAATAATAGCATCGAACAGTCTCAAATGAATGTTGAGCAGTTCCAATCATGAATGACTATAAGACAGTTTGAAAGGCACAAACATTTTAAAATGTTAATTGTTTAAATTATTATAATAAAGTGGACATGTCAGACAGGGTAAAGTCTCTATCACCTATAACGATACAAATTGATTGGTTAACTAATTATGGGTTTAGTTTTGAAACAGTAATTTTTTTCCGAATGATATTTTTCAATGTTGTGGATACTGAATACTTTGGAAAGCATCCAACATTATTGTCACTAAAACGTATGTAACATTTAGTGGACTGCATGGATTTTCTAAATCAAAAATATTTAAAAATAAATAATAAATACAAAGCTATAACTGGACCATCAGCTTAGGTTTAAAACAGTGCATGATAACCTAGATACAGTTCCTATTTAGAGACTTTTTACTGATTTTGTTGTGACCTGGTCAAATTTTTAATCTTTTGCTCATTTTTTCCCAGGAATAAAATAAGAAAAACAGAGAACATTGTCAGTTTAGTGGTTTATAAAGCTTGAGTTTCTTAGGTGAGTTATTATGAGATTTCAAAGAAGTATTAACATAATCTATTTATCTCTAGATACTTTACAAATACAAATTATCTTTTGTGAAATAAGTTAAACACATATTATTAGGACCATTTTGGAGATGAGTTGTCTCTGAAGCTAAGTGGCCACAAAGCATTTCCGTATCAAAGCAGGACTGGAATGCATGATGCTTAACTCCTTCTTGAAACGTTGTCACCTATTTACTCATGTGAGTAGGTCCCTTAAATTATTTTAATCATAGATTTTCCTCTATACTTATACTTATTTTTAAAATGTAGGTATGCTGTAGTTCTTTCTAGAAGTGGAGGATAGATTTAACAAATTATCCGGACCACTTCAGTCTATACATTTTTTCCCCGAGATTGATTATTTTATTCATGGCAAGAAAGTGGTATTTGGATATATATAATTGATCATTTCTTAATAATCTACTAGGTAGTAGAACATTACATGATGTGCATACGTATTTTAGGTATTCAAAATGAATCGAATTAAGTTTTATGCAGTGTTGCTGTCTCCTTATTTCAGGATAAAGTTTTTCATTACGTTGTCTTATTCTGATGATCATACGCTAATTTTCCCGATAGATTTATTGTTTAGTTTCAAGTATGCTGTTGTTTAAAATTCACATTCTATAATTCTGTTAGATAACCCTTTTTCTTGAATTTGAATGAGGTTTGTTTTGTCACTAGATTCCTAGTTTTTGGTTTTGTTTTGTTTTGTTTTTGTTTTTGTTTTCTGAGAATCAGATTCTGGTATACTAAGTCCTTCTACAAAATGGCTTCCTTGGTTTGGTTTGGGAAGAAGGAGATACTGATGTCTCTGCTAATGTCAGACCGACTGGAGTGAGCATGCACGTAGTTTCTTTATCCCTTCTCTTGCTAGAAGGGAAGTGGAGTCATAAGGTTCTCACTAGCATGGTATTATGTCGTGGTGAGCACCAGACTCTGAGCCATTCTGTGTGGTTTACACATTTCAGCACTTCCTGTTATTAGCTGTGTGATCTTAGGCAAATTACTCAACCAGTCTCTGCCTCAGTTTCCTTATCTGTAAAACGAGGACGATAACAGTACCTACCTCATAGGGTTGTCGTGAGGAATAAATGATGCTTAGAACAGAGTCTAGCACCTAGTAAGTGCTGGTTATCAATCATTATTGACTCTTTCCTGGAAGTCATATTTAAAGGTCTTGAATATCGGCCTGGTTTTAGCAGAAAGAATTTATTCCCTGAATTATGGTGAGTTGGTGGTCAGGCGTCTCAAATACTGTGAAATCTGAGCTAAGTATTCGGTGGCTGACGCCTGTAATCCTAGCACTTTGGGAGGCCGAGACAGGCGGATCACGAGGTCAGGGGATCGAGACCATCCTGGCTAACACAGTGAAACCCCGTCTCTACTGAAAATACAAAAGAATTAGCTGGGCCTGGTGGTAGACGCCTGTAATCCCAGCTACTCGGGAAGCTGAGGCAGGAGAATGGCGTGAACTGGAAGGCGGAGCTTGCCGTGAGCCAAGATGGCGTCACTGCACTCCAGCCTGGACAACAAAGTGAGACTAACTCAAAAAAAAAAATTAATTCATTAAAGACTTTTTAGTATTACGGTTTACTCTTAAGTGTTGTACATTCTACGGGTTTGGAAAATGTATAATGACATGTATCCATTCTTATGGTATTATCCAGAGTATTTTCACAGCCTTAAAAATCCTCTGTGTTCTGCCTCTGCATCCCTCTCCTTCCATTTCTGGCAGCCACTGATCTTTTTACTATCTCCATAGTTTCACCTTGTACAGAATGTCATATAGTTGGGGTCATACAGTATGCAGCCTTTTCAGAGTGGCTTCTTTCACTTAGTAATATACATTTAAGTTTCCTCTGTGTCTTTTCACGGCTTGATAGTGCACCGCTTTTTAGCACTGAATAACATTCTATTGTCTAGTTGTACCACAGTTTATTTATCCATTCGCCTACTCAAGGACATCTTAGTTGCTTCCAAGTTTTGCCATTATGAGTAAAGCTGCTATAAACATCTGTGCACAGGTTTTTGTGTGAATGTAAGTTTTCAACTCTTATGTGGTAGGATGTTTCCTTTTCCTAATTTTGATATGAGTGTATATGATGCGAGGACTGGTTAATTAAAAAGTTAAGTGAGAGGGTATCTGCCTTACATTCACCTAGGTATTACTACATGCATGTGGGAAAGAGAGGAGGAAAGACGGCTTGAAAGTGACTGTGTTTCAACTGGACTGAACCAGTTCTACAGAGTTCAGTAACAGGATACTGGTTCCAGAGAAAAACGGGCTGTTTTTGTTATGGGATTGGTGAGGGGGAGCCAAATCTCTCACCCACAAATAAACCTCTGGAGGGTTTTCTGCTGAGTTTAACCTCCTCCCACTCCCAGCCTTGAAATAGGTTCATTAATGGTAGGTGCTGAAATTACTGCACTAAAACTTACATTTGACTTGAGAGCCACATGGCTCTGCAGTCTTGGATGGCAAAAATGAAGTAGAGAACTTGTGAATTCCTACCCTTATGGTGGAGTGATCAAGATTATGAATTAGATATCCGCTGGAATTCTCCTCTTACCCTTATCCTCACAGCTCTCTTTTTCCCCTTCTACCTTCAAATATCACCACTTATAGCCTTTCCTTTATGTTTAAGTTTGTTTCTGATTCTTCGGTTTCTTATTTCTATGTCTATGAGCATATTGACCTCAGGGACTGGATCTTATTAACTGTTTTATCCTCGTTATCTGGCATATAGTGTGTGCTCAGTAAGTACTTTTCGTACTGAGACAAGGGAGACAAAATTTTACAGAGAAGTGAAAAAGACTCCAACTAGTTTTCATGTTAAACTTACTTCCAACTTGTGAAGACCATTGAATTAAACAGAAGAAATTAAAGACAAAATTCAGCACCCATTGGAAGGTATATCTAAAATGCAAAGATTGGCCAGAACCAGGGAAGATGACTTGCAACAGGAAGAACTTTTATTGAAACACCACCATAGAGAAAAAGCCAAAGAAATGGTACTATTCTAAAAATAACTTGTCTTAATTCATTGGAAGAAAAGCAGAAAAATAAGGGGACCCTTATTTAGGAAATGAGTTTCATTTTGGTATTTTAATTTGGGGGCCATTGTTTCTCAGAGGCGGGAGTTCAGGAAGGCACCCTCTGTTCATTCTTGTTGTTGACTTTGGTGGCTTTTTCTTCCACAGTGTGAACTCTGGATGAGAGAACTTTGCCACGAGGATCTATTTCTTCAACAACTGTTTTGACAATGGTGGTTTTAGATGAATCTAAAATGCCACATATAAACTGTTAGAATTTATCAAATACATAAATAGGAAATAACTCATCATTTGAAACACATACAAATAAACACTGAATATCTAACGCAGCTTTTGTTTACCTTTTGTCTGATTTCCTGGGCCTCCATAGCCTTTTGATTTAGAACAGGAGCTGTAAAGGTATAGAGCACTTATATTAATCATTTCATTCTGTTTTACTGAGGAAACTGAAAAATAATGATTTAAGGTGGGAATTCACTGCATTCTGAAATAACACTAAAAGAGTGTTATCTCCATGTGATCTAGATCATTAGATATTTTGTAATTGATTTCAAATAATCTTTAGTAACCTTAGAAATGAATTGTTATCTCAATGACAGCAATACTGACCCATCTTCTCCATCTATCAGGAGGCAGTAGGTCTCAATTTCTTTTTCCAGGTGGACCTTGACGTCGAGGAGCTGCTCATACTCGAGCTTCTGGCCCTCAGTCTCGGTTCTGACCTGGTGCAGCTGCTCCTCCAGGGCCCCGATCTGAGCCTGGATCTGTGCCAGCTGCGCACAGTAGTTGCTCTCGGTCTCTGTCAAGGAGCCCTCCAGGGAGTGTTTCTGTAGTTTGGTAAGACATGGTTTAATAGAAAAGGTCACAGTGTTTTAGAATAAGTCAAAGCATTTAAGAGATAATTAAGATAATTATCCTTACATCACGCAAATAATTACATTTACCCAAAAGATTCTATTTGTTCAATATTAATTATTGCTTTTATTAAATGTCATACTACTTTTTGATTGGAGAATGACACAGCTGGTGCTGAATGTCCCTCAGATGCCCAGGTGTGCTAAAAAAGATGAAATTTTCTCTTCATAGGGCACAGACGAAAAGATCCCTCCCCTGCACCAATGTAGCCTGTGCTTGTAGAGTTTGGCACCATTTGCCACTTTCCACACAACTGGAAGTCCGCCTACACTTTGCTACTCATTTCTAGCCATGTGACAGTCTTGGCTCATGAGGACTGTAGCTTTCTATTAAAAAGTCATCCTGCAGTGAACTGCATAAACGTTCCATGAGTGGAATAAACCACAGAAAAGAATTACCTTCTTAGGCTTTAAATAGAGTAGTTCAGTTCATTGGCTTGTGAATCTGAATGGGTTTATAGAGATACTCAGAGGGAACACTCACTGCAATTTTACGTGGAATGAAGATGAGCGTGTCTTATCCTTTCACCTGCAAGTATTTTTTATATAAAGCCTTGATTTTATGTACATTCATAGCTTCATCTGTGGATAAACTCTGGTGGTTTACTAGCCATAGTGGGAAAAGTATTGACTTGGGAGTTAGAAAATTAGGAGAGAATTTCTGGATGCCTTTGTTACCCAACTGTGGGACTGTGGGAATTGCTTAACTTTGTCGAATCTCAGAGTCCTCTTTAGGAAATAATGACATGAGTTATAACGTCTGCCCTGCCCCGTGCCCCGGGGTTGTTGTGGACTCACGTGTGGGCGGAAGTGCTGGGCAAATGCTTAATGAAAGCAGTTATGATTATCATTACACATGTTTAGTTTTATAGTCAGTCTTCATGCCTCTACTTTGCCTCTGTTTATGCCGCTTAAAAGGAACTTGTAAGTGCTCTTGATTGAGTGGTCAGAAGGAATGCTAGATGAAGTTGGGAGTGGTGCAAATGTATTTTTACTCTCTTTAAGCAGTAGGATTTTTTCTTCTTTTTCTTTTTAAATGGACACATAAGAATTGTACATATTTACGGGGTTCCATAATTATATTTCAAAACACACATTGTGTAGTGATAGAATCAGGGCAATTAGCATATCCAAGGTCCCAAACATTTATTTTTTTTTGTGTGTTGGGAACATTCAAAATCCTCTCTTTGAACTATTTGAAATTATAGAATAAGTTATTCTTAACTATAGTCATCCTCAGTACTATAGAACACTTGAACTGATTCTTCCTATTCTGCTGTAATTTTGTATCCTTTAGCCAACCTCTTCCTATCCCCCCATCCCCTTCCCAGGCTCCAGTAAGGATTATCCCACTCTCTAATTCTATGAGATCAACCTTTTTGGCTTCCACATATGAGAGTTTTTTGATATTTTGACTTAGGATAGAAGATTCAAAGTCAAAACTATTTTCTTTTTCCAGTATCTTGATTGTATTTGCTAATTTCTAATATTTCATAATTATTAGCATCCAGCTATACTTTGTAGGCAAAGAGGATTGTCATGTGCAAAATGCAAATGTGTCTTATGTCAAGCACTGTAATTAATGGCTAAAAACTAAAATATGTAATTATGTTGGAAGAAAATTACCTTCGATTATTTTTTTCTCAATTTCTAAAGCAAATGTGTTTTGTAACTTTTCGCTTACCGTTGCTAAGAGGGACTGAAGTTCAATCTCAAGGGTTTGAAGAGTGCGTTTCATTTCGGTAAGCTCATTCCGGGCTGAGGTGGTGGCGCCAGCGTCGTCAGAGATCTGCTGCTGCAGCGAGGCGCTCTGGAACGGCAGGGGCCGCGTTAGGGTGCTGCTGGCTGCTTCTGCGCCCGGCGCCCACGGAGCGCACCCAAGCATGGTTTTACCTTCTCGTTGAACCAGGCCTCCGCGTCCCTGCGGTTCTGCTCGGCAAGGGCTTCGTACTCAGCTCGCATGTTGTTCAGCAGAACCGTGAGGTCTACCCCAGGGGCCGCGTTCATCTCCACGTTCACGTTGCCTCCAGCCGCGCACTGCAGAGCTTTCATTTCCTGAAAGATATTTGTTTAACGGAATTAGGATCTGAATATTTTATTTATTTTATTTTTTGAGTTAGGGTCTCGCTCTGATGCCTAGGCTGGAATGCAGTGGTGCGATTATGGCTCACTGCAGCCTCGAACTCCTGGCCTCGAGCGATCTTCCAGTCTGGGTCTCCTACAGTGTTGGGTTTATAGGCGTGAGCCACCGCGTCCGGCCTGAATATTTTTAAAGGAGCCAGATGGACAAGATCTATAAGGTTAGAAACTTTTTGGGAGGCTTGTTTCTTTTGAGAGGATGAACAGAAGCATCTTAAACAATCTAAGCCTTATGGAGAAACTGACAGGTTCCTTCTTGAACGTTAATTTAATATATTCTATTTATCATCTGTAATTAATTTTAAAATTTGGGAGGGAGGAGATTGTGAGAGCCAGCCGAGTGGAGCTTCTACCTCCTCATGATTCTTCTTGAGGTAAGCGAGCTCCTCACTGAGAGTTTCCAGCTGGATCTCCAGGTCCGTTCTGCACAAGGTCAGCTCATCCAGGACTCTGCGCAAACCGTTGATATCCGCCTCAACGCTCTGGTGAAGTGCCAGCTCATTTTCAAACCTTAGAAAAGTATTTGAAAGTTTCATGATTAGTCGTTAGACATGGCACATCACAACTCAGACTAAGCTTTGAGCTAAAACTACTAAGATAATACTTAAAACTTCAGTGAGGTCACCTATCACGCCACAAATACATTTCATGGAAGCAAGAGAATGGGAAGAGCCAAAATTCTTTCTCATATGACTTTGACATTCATTTTTGTTAGTCCCCAAATTTCCCAGGTAAAATATGTTGCTCAGCTACTCATTCTAATATGCATTTTGTTTAAAACAAATACATGAATAAACAAGAACAACGACTTGAGCCAACCTCAAATAACTTAGAAGAATAAAGGAGAAAAAATGCTTAGACAACTTTTTTTTCCTATTTATCTTCAGCTCTACTTACTTTAGTCTGAAGTCATCAGCTGTTAGTCTTGCATTATCATTTTGCAGGACAACATGGGCATTACTGGTAGTTGCAGAAATTATCTGACAAAAGAAAAGTTAGTTAAGATTGAGGAAATATTTAAGATGCATTTCAAAGTTCCTTGAAGTGAAATTACCTATGAAATTACAGTGATATTTTTGGCATCTGTCTCTAATAATCAGATGATTCTTTTGAAGATGGGTAGTTTAAGTATGGTCTCTCTCACTCTCTCTCGTTTTTTCTTGAGACCGAGTCTTGCTTTATTGCCCAGGCTGGAGTGCAGTGGCATGATCTCGGCAAACTGCAACCTCCACCTCCCGGATTCAAGTGATTCTCCTGCCTCAGCCTCCCAGATAGCTGGGATTACAGGCACGTGCCACCACACTGGGCTAATTTTTGTCGTTTTAGTAGAAACAGGGTTTCACCATGTTGGCCAGGCATGACCACTGTGCCTGGCCAGGTGTGGTCTCTTTTATTCCCCACCCCAAGCATTAAAAAAAGTTCTTTCTGTGGGAAAGCCTATAAATATATAGCTGGAGACACTGGGCAGCTTTTGATATTTTAATATTACCAAAAGCATACACACTACACACATACCTAATACCACATGATGGATGTGCCGTGTTCAAATATTAGAATTTACTAGAAATTATTTTTAGTATTGAAAATGAAGTCCTAAAATTTAGAAGCTGAGGGCAAAGCCCCGTTACTGTGATAGCTTATACGTGTGTGCATCTGTGAGTGGCTGAGCACTCTCCGGAGTGCTGACACTCACGCCATGGCGTTTCTTACCTGGTTCTTAAGTTCGTCAATAATTGGGAAGTATCTGCTGTAATCATGATCAAGACCACGGCAAGAACCCGGTCCAAATTTCTCATACCACCCCTTGATCTTCTGCTCCAAGTCGGCGTTGGCCTCCTCTAAGGCTCGAACATTCTCCAGGTAGGAGGCCAAGCGGTCGTTGAGGTTCTGCATGGTCACTTTCTCATTGCCAGAGAGGAGGCCATGCTCATTCGCTGTGAAGGCAGCACAGGAAGCACTTCCCCCGCCCAGACCTCCGCCATAGCCTCCTGCAGATGAGCTGCCCCCAAAAGCACAAGAGAAGCCACTTCCAATGCCTGGCACACTGCATGTGTTTCCGGCCCCAAAGCCTGCTCCTCCACTAGAGAGCCTCACAGAGCCAGCGCCCCCGCAAGAGCCAAGTCTCCTCGAGGTAGAAGAAAAGCGCACAGACATGGTGTCCAGGCTGGAGCGTTTGTTTCTGCGGTGTTGCTCTGATGGTGAATGTCCTACTCAAACAGCTTGGTTTGCCTTTATATACACATTATTAGGGTGTTTCTTGATGAGCTTTGCTCATAGCCAAGTGATGTTTGCCAGCTCATTGTGAATTATCCATAATGGGGTGATTTTTTTAATGAATGGCTTTACCGTACTGTGTCCATTTCTGTAGGTGGATAGTTATCGTGGAGTTATTTGTTATCTCTGGAGTTGGACAGGGTGGAGTATTATCAGGATTATTATAGTGATGCATTTCAAATGTAGTATGAGTAACCCTTCCTGTCTTCCGGGCTTCAGGAATGTATAATACCTATAAGAATAAAAAAGTACGATAGACAGATTTCTCTTTCCCTTACCTAAATCAGCATTGTGTTTTCTTCAGCAATGAAGTATCATAGTCATAGTTTTCTATCAGATATGTTGAAAATAATTTCAAGACCATGTGTCCATAGTACCAGAAGAAGGAGGGGAGGTCCTAAAGGAAAACAGAGGCATTAAAGGGAATCTTCTTTGGAGACCGAAAGTGTTCCTTTGATCCTTATCCTTCCTGAATTACCATTTCATCTGTACTGGTTTTCTGTCTAAGTTCCATTGCTAACCAGGTTAGGTAAAGGAATTGGTCACCTCCTCGGGCCTCAGTTTCCACATCTGTAAAGTGAAGAGTCTAGACTGTGGCCTCTGTGTTCCCTTTCTATCTCTAGATCGCTCATATTTCTGCATTCCTTCTGTTGGCTGTCCATTTCCATAGCACTTTTCTGCATTGCTTCTTGTACTTTTCACCTCTTACTTATTTCTGAATTGTGGTCCCACTAGTTTACTGAAATTAACCTCTCAAACGTCACTGCACATCTCTAATCATCATTTATTTTATTTATTCTCCTATACTCTCTTAGTTACATTCAGTACTGACAACCTCAGTCTGATGAGTCTGATCGAGTTTCAGACAGCTGCTTTCTGAGAATTTTTCTACATCTCATGTTGTTCCCCTTTTCTCTTCTACTTATGGCTCCTGCGCCCTGCCTTTGTCATTTCTTATAGTTTTGTGCTTGGTATTTACGACTGTCTCTCCTTTTTTTTTTTTTTTTCTTCTAGACAGGGTCTCGCTTTGTCCCCTAGGCCGGAGTGCAGTGACATGATCAGAGCTCACTGCAGCCTCAACCTCCCAGGCTCAAGTGATCCTCCCACCTCAGCCTACCAAATATCTGGGACTACAGGCACATGCCACCATGTCCCTCGGCTGATCTGTGTGTATTTTTTTGTAGAGATGGGTTTGCCATGTGTTGTCTAGGCTGGTCTTGAGTGCCTGGCTTGAACAATGCTCCCACCTTGGCCTCCGCCAAGAGGTTGCGGTGGGAGTGGTGGAGTAGGCGGCGAGGGGAGGCACCTCAGCGTCGTCTGTAGAGTGGTAGGGAGTTGTCCCTAACATGTGGACTGTGTCCCGTTCTTTTTAGCTGTGGTCCGCTCTGTGCCCGATCTCTTTCCCGTTTCTGTTCATGTTGGTTCCTTTCCACCTCTGGTTGTTCTTCTTCACGACTACAAAAATTATAACGAAATCACATGTCTGAGAGTCTCTGGGCAGTTTGCAAGATGCATTGGACAGTTACGTTTCATTGACGCTACAGATTGAAAATCGAAGTTGGCCAAAGACCGCTCGCAAAATTTTC